GCAAGCAGAGAAACGTCAGTATGAGGAGGAAGAGCTCTATCCGGCTGCATATTCAGTAGACTCTTACTTGCCATAAACAGCCTCCGCTGGTCAGAACTATTATCTTCAATGAATTGATTGTAGTAGACACGACGTGCCTCATTCATCAAGTTCACCACACGATTTCATCGACATCAACAGGGACCTTGTTAGGAAGGTGAGATGGTTGGTGTAGCGTGCGAGCTTGCACCCTAACAACATCAACAGGGATATTGGAATAGAAATTCCAGAAGCGTGGATGCCCACGATCAAAAAAACACAACAACAGGAGAGCCGTGCGACAGCGGACCGCCGAGGGAGCAAATCACTGAGTGAACAGCAAGGATCGAAATTCACCAAGCTGTTGAAAAACAACTAATCACAGCAGAGGATCATGCTTTATAACATCACGCATGACCAGTGGACCTCATCGCTTGAAGAAGACTAGCAGTATGCAGTCGAAACGTCGCGATCTACATCACACGTGACTACATCATGAGACAAACGAAAAACTTAGCTTTTATTGTTATTCACCACAATAAATAACCACAACCTTTTCTACGAAATCTTTCCGTTTTGTTTTTGCTTTTATTCACGGTTTTTGATTGTTTTTATCGAAATACTTCGAAGGTGAGAAAAGAGATTTCCAGTTAATCTACCAGTATAAATATAGGTCGAATTTTGGAAAATTTCAAAAGTTTCCATGGTAGTGACTCGTTCAGTTTTTACGGTTCGCAAAACGAGTTATTATCGCATGGGGAGCCCGCCAGCTCGAACGACGTTTCTACCTTCCTTGTCCTTAAAGTGTTCTGACTTCCGGTTCTCTGTTACGAATCTAATTCCGATTATTGTACTTCCAGTAATTGGATGATACTGCTACATCACATCCGGACATACGTTTTACGACTGGCATCTGATAGTTTTTAAACCCAAAGCCCAAACACAAGAGCCAGGTCGTGGGCTTAACAGACGGTGATAAGAGGTTTTATATGCGGAGAAACACCACCGGTAATCGGCTCTCATTGAATCCGTGTTGATCTTGTAGAATGACTAGAAGTTAATTTCTCCTTACATTATTGACCCTGAATTAAACATTAAGGTCATGCGGAAGAAAGTAAATGATCACCAACTGAAGAAGCTCTTGATTGTTAAACAAATTCTCCCTGTCATCATCTTAGGAATTGTATAGAGAGCAGTATGGAGAATATGCATCCTGATGTTAGGGTGTAAAGGGTGAAACGAAGGTGAATCGTTTGAGCCCGTCACTAACAAATTTCTTGTTTTCACTGGAGCCATGAGTTTCAGAGCGTGGATGGTGGAATTCTATCTTCTATCTGTAGTAGTAGCTGTTGACTTAAGTAAGGCATTTGATTCTGTTTGTCACCCACTTCTGCTGGCCAAACTGAAAGCGTATGGTTTTACAGATGATGCCTTGGAACTTATGACAGCCTATCTTTTAGGTGGAAGACAAAGTGTTAAACTTGATGGGGTATATTCTCCGCGGAGAACTATAACAACCGGAGTACCATAGGGATCCTTGTTAGGTCCACTCTTATTTTATATGTACGTTAATGATCTTAATTACTTCGTTTCTAATACGTCCTTAAGGCTGCATGCTGATGACACGACGGAATATGCCTCGGATGTCTCACCGACGGTTCTGCAGTGTGTTATTAACTCTGATCTCAGCGTGCTATCAAGATGGTTCGGATTGAATTACTTAAAGATTAATGCCGCTAAAACGCAAGCTGTTGCCATCGAGCCGTCATTATATGAATATGAATTTCATCTCAATAATGTAAAGGTTGAGAAGCAAGATACACTTAAGATCTTAGGGGTAGTCTTAGACGGTAAACTAACCTTTAAGGTGTACACAAAGGAACAGCTGAAAAAAGCATGCGCAAAGGCTTCGGCCTTGCGGAGACTACGCAAGTTTATTCCGAAGTATGTAATGGTACGTCTCTACAAGGCATATGTTCTCCCACATCTTGAGTATTGCAGCCCTCTTTTGCTGGGTATAGGTAATGCTGAGACTACCAAAATGGAGAACACCAATTACTATTTATTAAGAAGTATCTTAGGCTTTTCGAAGTCTTTTTCATACGACTACCTCCTAAAAATAGTTAATATCAAGTCTTTGGAACAACGCAGGCAATTCCAGTCGCTAGTTATGTTATACAAGTGCTTGTATAGCTACGGAGCACCCTATATTAGTAAGTTTTTCAATCTTAAGAATGTTAAATATAACTTACGAGGGCTCAGCAACAAGTTGGAACTTCCCCCATTCAACTTGGTGTACATGCATAGATCTTTTATCTTTTTAGTCAGTAAACTGTGGAATGCGTTGCCTCCAACGATTAGAGAGTCCAAAGACACTGTATCTTTTAAGCGGGCTCTTAATGTTCATATAACTTGAAGAGCTTTTTAAATTTTTAAAGTTGTTAAATTTTGTACATAGATTATTACCGGTTAGTATTTAGGTAGTGTTTATTAATTAATTCATTAATTTTATCCTTTTACATTTTGTACAATTTTATTGTTTTACATTAATACACAAGTACACATTTTAACGAGCACTCAGGAGCTCCTTGGTGTTACGTGTATAAATAAAGTATTGTATTGTATTGTATTGTTTTCTTCAGTACCTGGGGTGTGCACCTAAAGATATGGGAAAACTTACGTCTAAATTAAAAATCTACACGAGTTGGACGCCATAGCCGCAGAACGAGCCTAAAGAACGGTCTCGGTTTATTGATTTCGTTTCCCATCGCATTAAAATTGTGAAAAATCGAAAAACTTTTTATATATCAAAGATTTTAATCATTTATGAGTTAACGAAGCTGTAAGGAGTCCTCTTGTAGCCTGCAAACCAATGATCACAAGTGATCCAATACGCCACCATCGATATATTAAAATTCTGCCGGATACGGCTCAGAGGCTAGTGGCAATAAAACAAAATTACACTTACTCATCCTTACATTTGCTATTTCAACAAACTCGGTTTGTAATATAATTACCTGATGAGCTCTATCTACAAAATGTACCTTGGGCGTGACAATGTGTTCTCATGGTTAAAAGTGCAATATGTTTATCCATAACAGTGCAAGATGTTTACTTTAACAAAAGCTAAGAAAATACAAACAAAGGCAATATATGAAGCATTTTAGAATCATCGACATTACGTTATTGCATTCCATTGTACACTAGAACTTGAAATATTTGTTTTTCTGATAGCGTTCTTTAGAGTCAAAACATTGGGTAATTGTTTGGGGGTTCGTTATAGAAATCAAAGGGAACTAAAACTGAATTACCTACTATAGGATGGCCATGATGACACAAGCCATTGAGATTCGAGATAAATCTTGTGAATTCCTCAGACCCACCTAAACTTTTTATGGAGACAAGGTCTTTTCAGCCGTTGCCCCCAGGCTATAAAATGTCTCACCCATAAACCTTAAATTAAGTCCATTAGTTTCTGTTTTTCGAGAAAAGATTAGATACGCATTTTTTCAGAGCTACTAATGATTAACTGCCAATTCCCAACTTTGATAAGGAGCTTTTTTGTACCGCTAAATAAATTAAGTTATAAAAATACTTTTATGATTATTATTGTTATTATTATTACTATTGTTATCGGTTAACTGGCCGAAGAAGCAAGAAAAACCCTGAACAACGTGTCGTTAAGCTCCAATTGAAGAGTGATTGTTTAACGCTGAATATACTTGATCGAGACACTCGTTTTTTTGTTAAGTTGGTACTGTTTGATTGTTGTGCCATAAACTTGACTGGTCTTATTTTCATCTCGGTTCTCTTTAGAGAGTAATAATATCCTTTCCAGTGAAACCAGTTCACTCCGTCAGCAAAGGAGGAGTGACTGCCACGAAGATACAAGCCATTGAGATTTGAGTAGTGACACTCCTTGTACCACCAGGCTCCTTTGAACTTAAGGGCGCAGTTGTGACCCCCATGATTGTCATTATCTTGACCTCTTGTGGTGAATGGCATACCGCGATGGTAAGCAAGAGAGTCACCAGAATTTCCTGGAAAAATGAGCCGCACTATGAGTATTACGCTTGACCAACAATGAGACGTTCGTAAGGCAGAACAAATCTTGAAATGTCAGATAAGTATAATTTAACAATAATAATATGGATTAAAAGCATTCCTAGTAATATCTATGTTTCTTGTCGAAGATTTTAGGGATTAAAATACTCGATATGATAATTACAATAAATATGTTCGCCGAGACACTCCTCAAAGTTGGATTAGTTCGTCAGGTTAACTGCGCATAATCCACCGGCGAATACCTATGCGCTGTCCAGGTTTGCATGTCGATGAGCTGAGGTTACTTTTCTGTCTTCCAAAGCTATTGATGTAAAAGACTCTAAGCATATTTACATTACTTAGGACTCTCCTCCCCCCTTCTCTGGTTGAGAATGATTGACTAGACTAGCAGCGACGAAATGATACTTCTACCTGAATACGAACCAAGGATCAGCTTGTACTTGTCTTCCTCACTTTTGACACCAAACAAGTCATACTCGGCATAACTATTATTTCCTTCAAAGTCTCCCAAGTCTATACGCAGCACGTTGTTATCATCAGAGGTCAGGCGGTGAATCTTGTCCAATCCGAGCCAAAACTCGCCATTCAGGTCACCAAACCCACATTTGTAGTCGTTCCAGTAGCGATAGAAATCAACCGAGCCGTTCAGTCTCTTCTGAAACACAGTCCATCCTCCACCCTTCGTTGTTTGGTCACAGAATACATCAAAGGCATGTGAGTTATCAGGTTTTATGGTGTACATTCCATCTCTTATTCCTCCAGCTTTGTAAATTTCAGCACAATTTTTCTTCAGGCCTATGAAAAAATGAGAAAATTGTATAATTCAACGATGCGTACACCAGACACTCGTCCAAGGAATAAAATTTCAATTATTTCTAAATACTCTACAATGATCAATTTACGATCATTTTTGAGGAAGGAGTATCGCTTCTTACAATATAAACAGTCTGCAAAGCAAATGGCTCGATCAGCGAATGTTCGATATATTAACAATTCAAGAGACCAAGATCGATCGAACATATCCCAATTCCCAGTTTCAGGTTGAGCACCATAAATTGTACAGGAAAGACAGAATGAAAGGAGGGCAGGCATAATTTTTTATGTTCGCGATGGCACTGCTGCAAAAAATAAATAATAGGCGTACCGCTATTCTGTGTTCTTATAAACCACCGTCAGTTAACAATGCTATATTTTCTAAGGAACTGTCTATCATGTTAGATGAAGCTTTATCGTTTAGTGACACTGTAATATGTACTGAGGACCTAAATTCTGATATACTCCATCCGCTAGCCGACAAAAAGAAGAAAGATGCTTGCTCGATGTTTGTGACGTGTATGACTTGGATTCCGTCATAAATGTACCGACTAGAATATCCAAAACAAGGGAATCGTGTCTGGATGTGATATTAACCATTGCTTCTGCACTTATTAAGTCATCAGGTGTTTTGGAACCCGGTTTAAGTAACCATTGACTTGTTTATGCGGTTCTAAATTCGAAGCTACTTCTCCCGAAATCTGAAATGGTTACGCAACGATCGATGAAACAGTTCAACCAAAAGGCGTTTCTAGAAGATCCTAGCAAAGTCCCATTCTCTACTGCTTACGTTTTCGATGATCCAGATGATGTGTATTAGTGCCAGGAAAAGCTTTATAACCGAATTCTTGATGATCATGCTCCCACCGTTTCTTTCAAGAAAAGTAAAACTCCTGCCGTGGATCCCAATTTATTACAACCGGTATTCGGAAAGTGATGAGGCAAAGAGATCATTTCAAGAGGATATTTAATAAATCTAGGAGCCCAGATGATTGGAAAAATTACTGCAGAACTTGAAAAAAAGTTGTTAGTATGAGGAGGAAAGTGGTAAAGGAGCGTTTCACCAAACAATGTGAAGAAACTTGTGGAAATCAGAGGAAACTTTGGACTACCATTTCACCATTTATTAATTCACGTAAAAATTTAAATACCGGCTGGATAATACTTAAGGACAATGGTAAGATAATTAAGGAACAGAATGAGGTGGCTGAGACTTTAAATGCATATTTTACTGGTTTTGATACCAACGGTGCAAATTACACATCCACCCTCGATATTGATCTTTCACATATAGCTGTTGACTCAACGCTGTCACTTAGAAATCAAACCCGATAGAAGTATGTGAAGTTCGGAAAGGATTAAAGCCTAACAAAGCGACTGGCTGCGACTTAATTCCAACAAGACTTGCTCAGCAATCAGTGGAAGTGTCCAGCCGTTTAGCACACTATTTAACTATGTGCTAGATCACGCGACTGTGCCGTCACAATGGAAACCTGGTGAAATTTCTCCAGTGCATAAGAAGGACTGCAATATAATGAAATCCAATTACCGGCCAATATCGATATCACCGTCACTGTCAAAGGTGTTCGAAAGACTTATTCATAACAGATTCGGCCCATACTCGAAGGATCTCTACCACAAGCTAGTTTCCGCATATAGAAAGGGGTACGGCTGTGATACTTCCCTCCTCACTTTAACGGAGCAGTACTTCCGAGTTATTGACGGCACGTAAATCTAACCATAATTCGCGAGGTGATGCTATTTTAAAACTACCTATAGTAAATTCTACAAAGTACGAGATCAAGTCATGGACATACCAGGCTGCCCGATTATGAAACACTATTCCTAATAATTTAAGAAATATCGATGGCTACCGCAGTTTTAAACGTGGACTCAAGGAGCTCCACCTTGCAAGTTTATGGTCCCTTATTTGCAATTTAACTTAGTTTTTTTTTTTTTTTTTAGTTTTATATAGCTCCATATACTATATCATTTTAAGCACGTTTATTTAGTTGTAAGTTTATAGACCTTATTCGCAATTTAACCTAGTTTTTATAAGTTTAATAGTTCTATAATTTTATGCAGTTCCATAATACTACATAGTTTTAAACGCTTTTATATAGCTTCTAGGTTTATTTATTTATCTTTTCTCTCGTGACTGACCTGTAAACTAGCTTCATATAGCTAAGTGTCAGCCACGCTAATAAAGTATGTATGCATGTATGGGTGTATGTATGTATGTATCTGTGGTTAATCATATCACTAAGACTTGCTCTGCAGCGTTTTACTATCTTTGTAACATTAGAAGAATTAGAAAATATTTAACAAAAGAATGCACGGAGACACTTATCCATGCCTTTATGTCTAGTCGCTTGGACTATTGTAACAGCCTCCTATTTGGAGTTCCTGAGTGCCATCTTCACAAATTACAGAGAGTCCAGAATGCAGCTGCGCGCCTTATATTCCAGGAGAGCAGATTTTGTCATATCACACCTCTGCTCAAATCATTACACTGGCTGCCTGTAAAATATCGCATAGTTTTTAAAATTATCTCAATTACTTTTAAAGCAATACATGGTCTTGCCCCGGCCTACATAAGTGAGCTGATTTCTGTTAGAGACACCAGAAGATATGATTTCCGTTCCAATGACGGCTTACTCCTTGCTCCTGGCAGGGGTAAAACACTCACCACGCTCGGCGATCGATCTTTCCATGCCGCCGCCCCTAAATTGTGGAAAGATCTTCCGAGCTTTATCAGAAACACCCAATCTTTAAACAAGTTTAAGAAGGCCATTAAGACCTTTTTATTTGCCAAAGCTTTTTAATTCTTTGTATCTAACTTCATATTTTTACATTTTCTTAGTGATAATTTATTTATTTATTTATTTTTTATGTTTTAATCTTTTCTTTTTTCAATTTTTAGTTTTTAGTATCTATGTAGGGGTTGAATTTTTAACATTTAATTGTAATGCGCAATTGAAAATTCTTATATTGATAATTGCGCAATATAAGTCTATAAATTATTATTATTATTATTATTATTATTATTATGTAATCTTCTTCTGTTAACAGATTTTAAAAACAGTCAGTAAATTACCCCAATTCCAGTGGTTCATTTAACCCAAGAGGATTAGTGAACGAAACGAAAGTTATGCTACCTTGCAACTGGTAGTTTTCTCTACTGAATCCATGACGACAAACACAACGAAAACCTTTACTGGTAAATCCAGCTTGACAGGTGCCATTGTTCAAACATGGACTGCTGCTGCAGGGATTCTGTTGGTAAAACAAAGAAAAACTTCGTGCAACATTTCCTTACATCAAGAATGAGATCACTTTAGCGCCAAGAAATAAACAACCTCCTCTAATGAATGACAAAATAAAGCTCTTTTGGCTTTCCCCTTGGACAAGAATCAAGAATAAGATCACTTTAACCTGAAATGAAAAGAAATCATCTGTGTCTGCCTCCCCTAAGGTTGGTAAAAATGTAAAATTTTACCTCGATTGCAAGATATATGAAGCCTGGTTTATTCATAAGAAGAAATGGAACATGGTTTTCCTCGGTGGCGTTGTTCAACTCGCATTTTTGGTTTCCTCCTTCTACAGGTCCAACATTAATGGACACGCAGTCAGGCTCCATATAACACATCACTCTGCAGCTCCCCTCATTGGGCACTTCTGCACTCCAGATCACACGATCCTTCATGGCCATGTTTTGTATTGGGTCCCGAAATATAATGTTTCGACAATCGTCACCTGGGGAAAACAAAACGAATAGAATTACGTACTCGTTCAGGTGATCGCTTACTCGTACAAAATTTCTTATTGTCAATTGGTAGAGAAACACATTAAAGCACGCTATTTTGCCAACTTACTGCATGAAAACCTTTATTAAAGAGTTTTCTCTAAAGGATATTTTCATCTTTTCATACTTCAATTCTAACGGGAGGTTTTGGTTATTAAAACAGAGCTATGTAGATGAGCTAACCAGCGTAAACGATATCCGAAAAATAATAATTTCCATGGCGTTAATTACCACACTACAATATCTTTGACTCGTTTGTTTCAATTTATAAATATGCGCATGTTTTGAGGGCTTTTTCAAATACGGTGAAGAACAGCTGTATCCAATAGTCTCCGTATATGTGCACAAAAGGAGACATTTTGGGTTAGAAAATAAGTATTTGCTTAATGCTAACTACCATGCTCAACTACCATTAGCAAAACGAGCCATAAAAAACTTAGGCCTCTGTACTTAAAGTTGCTATAAATTAACTTTTCATGTTAATAATGTGCAATGCCATTTTATCGTATTGGAGAATGTTTTGAGATAAAAAAGGATAAATTGTTAAAAGTTTGTATTTCAGAAGTGACCTAACACCCTTGCCGGTAGCAAGTCTGCAAAAATTTGTTTCTTGGTCTTAACGTAATTGCCGCAAGTTCAAAGTTAAACAGGCTGAAAATAAACATATTGATAAACTCCTGTCACTTCTGATAAGTGTGATGTGCTCTATTTTGTTCTTCTCTGGTACTTTTGAAAATATTATGGCTTATCAGAATGAGATGAAATTTACAAGGTAGAGTAAGAATTTAAAAAATACTCCAATGCAGACAAAATGCGTTACACCGGTCTATTATATCTTCCTCTTTTTGCGGCTTTTGCAGCTGTTAACTCACCTTCGAGAATGAATATTTAATATGAAGAAATTCGTACTAAGTTTTCTTTGAGCAAGGGATGACACAGGCCTGTTAGTATAACAACGTGTTGTAGAACAATTACATAACTGAACAAGGTATTTGCCTTGAATTTACAATTATTTATTTATAGCGATGCAGTTCAAGTTTTCTCTCCAACCGATCATTAGTACTCTCTATATCTTCCTTGGAATTATTCTCCCACCATGTTTCTGTTGCACTGGTGAGTATAAATCCCTTTTTAAATTTCTTGTGTTTTATCTTTCTGGCGTCGTTTCCTCAAAACCGTTACATGAACTACATATGCTACCTGCTGATCAAAGCAAATAATCCTCAAGCAGACAATTTTTATCCAACCCAAAATGTCTTCTATTATGAAATAGAAGATACAAAAACAGTCAAATTTCAAAAAGATCCCACCAACTGCGCATCAATGTTTCAAAATGATGAATTTAAACAAACGATTCACAGATATCGTGGTGTGGTAATGAACGCTGTGAAAATATTCTTGATATTTTCCTTAATATTTTCTTTCCGCGCGTTAATTCACGATCAAAGATTGATTTTTGCTAAGTTTAATTTTCAAGAGATGACAGTCACCTTTAGGGAAAATTCGCCAGGGTTCTCGTGCAGTAAAGTTTTGAAAGAAAGTGGTCTAATGTGCCTTTCTCATGAGTGAAAATAAAAGAGTACCTCGAGTGAGTGGAAACTAAACGATATATTTGTTTTGCCTACCGCAGACGACGACTGTCGAAACATCATATTCAAGGACCCAATACCAAACATGACCATGAAAAATCACACCATCATAAGTGTAGAGGTGCCCAACGAAGGAAGTTGCAGAGTAATGTGTTATATGGAGCCTAATTGTGTGTCCATCAATATTGGACCTGTTGCAGGAGGAAACCAAAAATGCGAGTTGAATAACGCCACAGAGGAAAACCATGCTCCATTTCTTCTCGTGAAAAATCCGGGTTACACATATCTTGCAATTGAGGTAACATTTCACATTCTTACAAAACTACGGTGGTAGAAGATATTGTATCATTTTCTCATGGTAAAGTGATCTTATTCTTGGCATAAGGAAGATCTGCACACAAGTTTACTTTGTTTTGTCAACAGAATCCATGCAGCAGCAGCCCATGCTTAAACAATGGCACCTGTCAAGCTGGGTTTACCAATAAAGGATTTCGATGTGTCTGTCGGGAAAGATTCACTGGAGAAACCTGCCAAGTTGAAGGTGAAATGGCTAAGATTGTGTGGGTCAGACTCTCGCGTAGTACGCAAGGAGTTACTCACCAAAGTCCCAAACTTGATTTCAAGAACAAGATATTAACCACTGAAATAAAGCTAAGAAGGAAAAGCCTATTGTTGTAACATTAAATAAATAAAGCCGGTGGATATTAAAGAAACCGAAATGGTACTTGTTAATGTTCAGAATCAAGTTTTATCACACATAGCATTAGACAGGAAAGCAAGCAAAAAATATTTAATATCCAAACAATTTAAAGTGTTTTTTGTTTGTTTGTTTTTACTGATTTTCAGTCAAAAGAAACTGCGCAGAAATCAACAATTCCCCGGATAAATCAACTGACGGTGTGTACACCATTAAACCTAATAACTTGCCTGCCTTTGATGTATTCTGTGACCAAACGACAGCCGGTGGAGGGTGGACTGTGTTCCAGAAAAGACTGAACGGCTCGGTTGATTTCTACCGCTACTGGAGCGACTACAAATGTGGTTTTGGTGACCTGTGTGGTGAATTTTGGCTCGGACTGGACAAGATTCACCGCCTGACCTCAGATGATAACAACGTGCTGCGTGTAGACTTGGAAGACTTTGAAGGAAAAAATGCTTATGCTGAGTATAATATGTTTGGTGTTATGAGTGAGAAAGACAAGTACAAGCTGATCCTTGGTTCTTATTCAGGTAGAACTGTCATTTTGTCTCCTCTATTCTAGTCATTCTAAGAAGTTAGGGGTCAGGGGAGGAGGAGGAGAGAGCTAAGTAATGTAAGTATGCTTAAACTCTTTTACATCAATAACTTTGGAAGACAAAGAAGTAACCTCAGCTCATCGCCATGCAATCCTAGACAGCGCATACCGGACGTTGATTAGTCCAAATCTATTCGTCGGTGGATCTTTCGCAGTTAACCTGACCAACTAATCCAAATCTGAGGAGTGTCTCGGCGAACATATTTATTGTAATTATTATATTGAGTATTTTAATCCCTACAATCATCGACAAGAATCATAGATATTACTAAGAATACTTTTAATCCATATTATCATTGTTAAATTATACTTATCTTATATTTTAAGATTTCTTTTGAATTACGAACGGCTCATTGTTGGTCAAACGTAATACTCATAGTGCGGCTCATTTTGTCAGGAAATTCTGGCGACTCTCTTACCAACCATCGCAATATGCCATTCACCACTAGAGATCAAGATAATGACATTTGGGGGGATCACTGCGCCATTAAATTCAAAGGAGCCTGGTGGTACAGGAAGTGTCACCGCTCAAATCTCAATGGCTTGTATCTTCGTGGCAATCACTCCTCTTCTGCTGATGGAGTGAACTGGAAAGACTGGAAGGGTCATCATTACTCCCTCAAGAGAACCGAGATGAAAATAAGACCAGTGGATTTCTGAACTGTCATGTTTGTGGCACAACAAACGGCGCCAACTTAACAAAAAAACCGAGTGTCTCAATCAAGTATATTCAGCATTAGACAATGACTCTTAAATTGGAGCTTAGCGGAACGTTGTTCAGGGTTTTTCTTGCTTCTTTGTGCACGTTTTTCAAAATAGGAACAGTTGATTCTGTAGAATTGGCCAGTTAACTAATAATAATAATCATCATCATAATAGTAATAATGACTTAATCCATATAGCGATACATATATACAAAAAGCTTCTTATCCTAGTTGGAAATTGACAGTTAATCATAAGAAGCTCTGAAAAAATGCGCTTTCGTCTTTTCTCGAAAAACAGAAACCAATGGACTCTATGAGTGAGACATTCGACAGCCTGGGGGCAGCGACTGATTAGACCCTGTCTCCATAACATTTTGGGTGGGTCCTAGGTATTCAAAAAAGTTATTCTCGAATCTCAATGGCTTGTGTCATCATGGCCATCACGACTCCTATGCTCCTTCTGTCTCGGTTATACAAGTTTTGATTCTTTAAATTTTTGACTCGTATTTTCACTTGACGGAGCACAAAGCAATCACAAAGCCTTCATTTTTTCTAAGTCAATATCAGAAGAGTAACCACAGTCGCTAATTCAGTTCTAGTTCCCTTTGATTTCTATAACGAAACTCCAAACAATTACCCAATGTTTTGACTCCAAAGAACGCTATCAGAAAAACAAATATTTCAAGTTTTAGTGTACAATGTAACGTAATGTTGATGATTCTAAAATGCTTCAAATATTGCTTTTATTTGTATTTTCTTAGCTTTTGAAAGGGAATACCTTGCACTGTTATTGATAAACATATTACACTTTAAACCATAAAAACACATTGTCAAGCCCAAGGTCCATTTTGTAGATATGGCTCATCAGGTGATTATGTTACAAACTGAGTTTGTAGAAATACCAAATGTAAGGATGAGTAAGTGAAATTTCTTTTGTTTTATTCCCCCCTAGCCTCGGAGCCATGTTAGAATCTTGATATATCAAAAGTGGCGCATTGGATCACTTGTGATCATTGGTTTGCAGGCAAAAAGAGGACTCCTTACAGCTCTACTTTCTTAAGAAAGATTAAAATCTTTGATACATTAAAGTTTTCAGTTATTCCCAAATTGAATGCGATGGGGAACGAAATCAAGAAATCGAGACCGTTCTTTTGGCTCGTTCTGCGGCTATGGCGTCCAACTCGTGTAAGGTTTTTAATTTAGACGTGAGTTTGTCCATATCTTTAGGTGCACGCCCCAGGTACTGAAGAATCTGCAGGTAGCTTTCCACCATCCACGCTTTGAAACTCATGGCTCTAGTGACAAGAAGATAATTGTTAGTGACAGGCTCAAACGATTCACCTTCGGTGGTACTAGGATGAGACCAGTCATTTAGATTTAAACACAGCAGTTATGATCTGATGTCTGACAACAATTAGAACAGCTGGACAGGAAGAATGACTGTGGCCTATAAAACAGCGGTTTTGTTTTGTAACCATAGTTACAGAAGCTCAAACAGTTCTATAAATTAAAGGAAAGCACGACACCATAAAGTTTTCACTATTGATAATCTCAGGAACAAAACCAAGTGCGAAAAACACTTTTTCGCTCAGAAGGTAAGAAATATCTCTGTGAGCTACTTATCTATATATCTTAGACTAAGCCTTTCTTGCTCAGACCAATTGCGCAGATTGCAGAAATGATCGAGAAAAATTTTTTGTAAAATTCTGTCAATTCAGCCACACGATCTTTCGCATTCTGTCACATCCTTCTGGTCAAAGTTGTTACAAATTTGAAATTTTTAGGTTGAAGCTCTCAAATACCATCCGAAAGTCATAGAATGCTTGCGACCAGTCTAACTAGGATGAAATCGGGTGATGTTTAAAGATTGTTTGCATTGTTCGCCGGTGGCCTAACCTTCTTCTAATGGATTCGAGGGAGCAGCGCCAGAAAAATGAAACGCAATAAAATTTAATAATAGTGTAGTTATACTCACCAGTGCAACAAAAACACGGTGGGAGGGTTATTCCAAGAAGAATATAGATATTACCAATGATAGCTTCAAGGAAAGACTTCAACTGCATTGCTATAAATTATAAATTAACTCCAAGGTAAGAATCATGATCGTGACCATTGAAAGTCGTCTCAAATTATAAAACTTCCTGTTTTTCTATCGATTGAAATGCTAATAACGGTCATGCAATTGTTAAGAATCTATTTCTCAGCTATTTCTCCTCATAGGAACTCTTCGTAATCGCAAAAATTTCGATAAGAAATACTTTGTTTTATTTGTATTATTGGAAGTATCGACGCCATTCTGCTGATGGGTTTTTTCATTTCCTCTCTTTGGAAAGGTAATCATTATGGGAATTTCTCCTTAGTAAATAAAAATTCAGTCATTCAAGGCACAATAAGAGGAACGTCAGCATACAATGAGCCACTTACATAATTTTTGTTTTCTATGCTTCAATGAGGCATTATATTTCATAAAGCATCGGTAGAGACGAAAACAGAACACATCACGCTAATGACTGGAGTTTAAACGTGAATGGTTTTTAGCTTACACTGGTTTGTCTTTTAGCTTGCTGCAACAGATTCAAGTGCAATTTATTTGTGTTAAATATCCATAAGTTGCTCACAAATATTTTTCTTACCTTCTGGCTGACAAAATGTTTGTCGTACTCGATACTGTGTTCGGATGTGTCAGGAGTGACAATCGTGTTTTGTTACCCTATAGAGAAGTGTTTAAAGTGCTGTAACTATGGTTACAAAACAGAACGGTTTAATGAGTGGTGAACATAAACGCCTCAGGCCTTCTTCCTGTTCAGCTGTTCTACTTATTTTCAGTCATCGGATCATTGCTTTTTTGTTAACTCTGGGTGGTTGGTTTTCTCCAAGTAACATTGGACAAGTAAAATAGTCAATGAAATACCTCTATAAAAGACCGGGAGGATTTTTGAAAAAGTCAGCGAGTCTAACTCTTACACAAAGCTTGAAATTATGAAATATGGTCAGTAACTGTAGGAACCCAAACAAGCGCGGCAGTCTCGAGCGAAATGTTATTCAAACCTATATCGTTGTAATCCACCCATTCATTTTCGCGTCATTTTAATGGCCACTTTACATAACGTGGTGCAAAATCACCAGACAGTTACCTCGCTATAAACCCGGTCTGCTCTCAGATTATTTCCGACGAAAAGAAACAAGGCTCGTGGAAGAGAGCCAGCTCAATTATCTTACACGGAAGAAAAACACTCTTTTTGTAGAGTGTAGTAAAGTATTAAAAGGCTGGTCGCACCTACGCATCCGCATCAGACAAGCACTTGTTTTCTAAGAGCGGTTTCGGATCATATCAAAATTAATAACAGGGTACGTTATAAAATAAATAGACCCCCTTTCTGGCTTGATGGTATTTCGGTTGATAATGTCCTTGGCTGAAAAATTGTCCACAAAAACTGCACATTTTCCCTCGAGGCTTTGCTTCTCGGCCAAATTTTGGACATTATCAGTTGATATATCAGCCTCCCGAGTCTCAAGAGAAATGTTAAACCCGGACAGTTACCACGCTATAACCCCGGTATTTCCGTTGCAAAGAAATATAGCCAGTGGAAGAGAGCCAGCTCAATTATCTTACACAGAAGAAAACAAATTCTATGTGTAGAGTCCAGTAAAATATTAGAAACTTGGTCGCAACTACGCTCAGAGCGAGCGATCTCGCGTGATATAAAAAAAAAAAAATAATCTATACAAATAAATTTGTAACTTACCATCGGTACGTTATAAATTAAAGTTTGTCCTCAAAACTTCACATTTTCCCTCGAGGCTCTACTTCTCGGCCAAGCATCCCTAATTTTGGACAATATCTCAGCCGTGGGCATTATCAGCCGATTTACCAGCCGCCCGAAGGGGTTTATTTAGTAATTAGTTGTATTTCAAAACAAGCCAAATGTCAGAGCCGTCAGAAAAATCTTCAAACGATCACAATTATATGAAATCGGCTGTCAAAGGATATGGTCATTGTTTCAAACATTTATACCACGAAAATACAGTATATGGGATCTTTTTTTATCAGATTAGAGTGAAGGTCTTAAGTACTCCAGAAAATATCGGTGGCTAAAAGTAGTGTCGTGCCATCATGAATAATTAACAAATAGAGAAGCCTTGGAAGCGGCTAGACGTCTACGTCTCGTGTTTCTCCCTACACTTCTTTCGTGCTCTAGCCGCTTCCTGCGTGCTTTATAACAGAACAGAGGACAGTCAAGGCTTCTCTATTTGTTTTATAATAAAGAATCCGTTAAATTCCCCATGCATTACTTTCAATTTTCAAAACAAACTTTATTTCCAAAGCGAAGAACAATGTCGTCAGCATGCTCTATACTCTCATAGAGCACGCTACAATAAGCCAATCAGAATCCCTGTTAATGGTTCAAATAATCTGATTGGCTGTACAAGACAAAAGCTGTTAAAAGTGTCAAACCATCAAAGTTCAAAAACCATCAAAGTTCACACTCTGCGATAGGTTACAAACTAAAATAATTCGGCAGGTCGAATTTAACGCTTTTGCCTGAAGTTTTTAATTCAGAATCTTGAAGTGAAATGTTCAGTGAACTTCAGCCGAATTATGGCTCATAAAAACACGCGGGTTTTTTCACATGACAAGGTAGAAAACAAACTGTTCAAGGCGAGTGTTTTTTAAATGAACGACAGCCGAATTCACCGGAACATGAAGATCGCTCGGGATGACAGCGCCGCAAAACTCGGCTGCAGTGACTGAAGTGACTTTTCACTCAACACATTGGAAAGGATATCAGAGCGAGCTCTTATTTTTTCACTCGAAGGGCGGCATGATAAGTGAGCCGCGATGGACTTCAGCATGATCATATTTGCTCAGACACCGTCATGATTAGTATGAATTTTAACAATTATGCCAGTTTGGTTATATTTTTCATCATTTCTGTTTTGTTGTTTTGTTCTGTTTTGTTTTTGAACTCTGAACTTTATATACTATACGAGTGTTGGCTGTGTTTGATTTTCATTACCGTACGTAAGCTTGCAATCTAACTGAGCGTGAAAATCTTTAAAACTCGGAATGTCTATTTTGTTTTTCCTTTGAGGATTTTCGTATCTGCCCACGTTTTAATAACGTAAATTACGGCGCCTGGTATGTTTACAAACCTTTCTTTGGTTCTTCTGTTACTACTTGCCGGCTCGCTTGTTCCGAAATTTCACTTTCAATTATCGGAAAAAAGCTAAAAAGAAGTCCCGGAAAAGGTCGAACATGGTACAATTTGGCAGATGGCGTGACAGCTTTAGCTCAGTTCTATGCTCTATACTCTCATAGAGCACGCTCTTTCAACCAATGACAGCGCGCGTTATATCCGAACTTTATTATAAAACTATTTGAAGTACTGTAACCATGATTACAAAACAAGAAACGTTGAATAAGAGATGAACAGAAGCGCTTTAGCTTTTCTTCCTAATCGGTCGTTCAAATTGTTGATATTCATCAGCTCATGGTTTTGGTCTTTTATGCTTTTGATAGTCCAGTAGAGGGTTTTTGAAAAATGCCAGAAAGTCAAACTCTATGAAAAAGCCACAAATGATTAGATGTGGATGATAATTGTTGGAACACAAACGCAGTAGAAACGAGTGTCAAGTTTGACAATAGAAAACAGTAATATTTCTAGTTTAATATCGTGTTTGCTTAATTTTAAAATTATTTCCTTTTATGATTGGTGGCTTATGAAGTTCGTTTAATGCTGGTTTCGAGGGAACGTCGCCAGAAAAATCGAACACGAACACAGAAAAAAGAATTAAATGGCGAATCATAAACGCTAGTGCGAAAAAAACATAGTGGGGGAATAGTTTCTGAAAAAAATTTAGACAGCTTCAAGGAAAAGCTTGAACTGTGTCGCTATAATTGAAAACTATGAATTGATCGTGACCACATTGATAAAAAAACTGGTCTCCATAATAGCTGAAATACCTTTTCCCTCTCAAATTCAGTGCCAGGTAGGTCTTCGGCATTTATATTTGAGCTTTGTCCTAATTATCGTGGTACTCAGTCGCAAGCAAGTAATTCCCTCAATTATGTTATTGGTAGCATTGACGCGGTCCTGCTAATGGGTTTATTTCATTCCCTTGAAGAATGTGGTGGAATCAGGTGGAATTTCTCCATATTAAAGTTTTATCTTTCCAGATGAGTTACTCGCTAAAAAGGCACATTTAGTGGAAAAAATGGATCATTTTAATAGAATTCGTCTGCACTGGAGCACATGAAATTTTTTAATCTACTCTATTAATTTTATTGTCAAAAAACCAGGTGTGTAAGTGCTGTAGCTATGACTACAAAAGAAAACCGCCGCTTTATAAGCGATGAACAGTTTTCCAGCTCACAAGTTTTCTCTTTTTTATGTGCTAGACTAGTTTTAACTTTGTGATCTAATAATTTGAAGTCATTGAATTACCGTCGCGCAAGATGCCTTTGAAAAATGTGGAAAGTCAAGTTGATTTTTTTTCTGTTCGAAAAAACTCGTTCGGACATTTTGTATTTTAACGAAGTAATGAAGCATAATGCACTTTATGAGCCCTTTTCCTACGAAAGTGACGTTTAATATTCATGAATAACAGTGAGATACGTAATCGTAGGTAATCATGCAATAAGCGGAAATTACAGAACATTGATTGCAAATGCAGGGAATTTTATTAGGGGGGAATAGGCACAACCAAGAACCCTCGATCCCCCCTCCCCCCTCCCCCCTTCCCCACCAAAATAATGACGGGTCACTTACTCTTCATAAAGTCTCTTTGAAAGAATAACACCTGTGTACTAAATCGTTTAATGTTTCCAGAAGCTGGTGATAATATGAGACAAACCTTCTACGTTTTTTAAAACGTATAGCAAGGGGGATACATCCATCCCTCAATACAAAAAAAATTACGAGATGAAATTCATAACGAAACAAAAAGAAAAACAATATGTACAACACTAGAAAGTTCAACGAACGTTCACTAAACCGGCAAACCCATCAATGTTTTTTTAGCGCTGAACAGACTTGATAAAAGTAGGTTCTTAATTAAAATTATGACATAAATATGACAGTTCAGAAATCCACTGGTCTTATTTTCATCTCGGTTCTCTTGAGGGAGTAATGATAACCTTTCCAGCCTTTCCAGTTCACACCATTAGCATAGGAGGAGTGATTGCCACGAAGATACAAGCCATTGAGATTTGACGCATGGCACGCGCTGTACCACCAGGCTCCATTGAATGCAATGGCGCAGTTGCGTTTTGTGTCATGATCATTATCACGATCTCTAGTGGTGAATGGTCGATCATGGGAGAGAGAGGAGCTAGCGTTTCCTAAAAAAAAATTGGAATTAACGGTAATAAAAAGTAAATAAAATAGAAATTTACATTATTCTTATCAAACGTCCCTGTGAAATGAAAACGCTAGCTTGATATTGCTAATAGATCAATTATGATCAGACTTGAATTGTTCCGTCGGGCTAACAGGACAAGATCCATCGGCAAACACTTTCAGATTTAATCAACGTCTGGTCTGCACTGTCTAGGATTATTGCATTTCGATGGGCTTAGCTTATCATTTTTTTCATCTTTGGAAACTGTTGCTGTAAAAGAATTTAAGCTTCTTTACTTCAATTTACGCTCTCCTCCCCCGTAATAATAAAAAGGAAAATACCGTTATACCTGAATAGGAGCCGCGAATCA